CAGCAATCCTATATTTTTCATGTCAGTGGCAATCTTGGCCCAAACTTTAATATTCATATCCTATAGAAAACCTACATCCCAGGCACTGATCTGTCTGGGAAGAATAAAGCACTCTGCTGCTTGTTCCAGCTTTCCACCCAAGCTGCTGCATCGCGGGCTAGAGCATGAATGTCAGTAAATCCCACCCACAACACAGCATAGTCCAACAGATGTTACCCGGTTTCAGGTTTTCCCAGTTGTATCATCTATGCTGTTAGAGGATGTGGTCTTCTAAAAGTATCACCTATTGGAATCATGTGATTATGTGAGAAATTCCATTTTCTTTGAAAGCAAGGCCTTTTTGCTGAATGAAGCAGACCAAACTGGACGTTTTCATATGCTACTCTTTAAAAACAGCAGTCAGAAAAGAATGAAGAGGAAAGGTCATCAATGAAGAAACTGAGATCTTTTCATTCTACTGAAACTTCATAATCACTAAAAAATGTTCAGTGAAATATAAAAACGTGACTATGATTAAGGCAGCTTGCTATAAAAATAGAAATAGAAATAGAATTATGTTTGAAAAGTCGAAAAAGGAAAGAATAGTGAAATTTTGAGGAGGTAACAATCTTTTAGTTCATGGAAACATCTGCCATATTCCCTCGGCTGCAATTACTAATGATTCCCAATGAAGTTTTGTCCCTTTCCTAAACTTTTCCTTGTTTCCCCCCTCTAGTAAACAACAAAAATTTTTAATCTGCCTTCAGGCACAATTTTCAAATATCCCCTTCCTGCAATTTCTAAGACCTTTTATCAATAACTGTTATGTGTAGGGGCCCCACTTCTTAGCTGTGATAGAAGCTACCTCAAAATAACTTTTCCATATTCAAGAAAGAATGCAGTTTGCAAATGTCAACAATAAATTTGTTTCAGTAATGCATAAATCCATTTGCTATGCACTAGCCTTCTTTGGTTTGGATTTCATGTTACAACTCTTAGATACATCATCTGATTGCTGTTTATGCCTCTCCTAGAGGGAGAGCTCTTTAGTCATGGTTCAGACTGTTCCTGTCACAGGCAAAATCATCCATTTTCTGGTTGATTTTTCAGAACTCATTCCCCAGCAATAGCTTTTATCTAGTGAAAGCCTGTTATATCTTACCTTCCAAGGTACTTTGCCTCCAAACTTTACATCAGCTCCTCACACACATACATTCTTTGGACCTGCAAAGCACAAAATCAGTACTGAAGCCAGGAATTGTATCAGATCTGTCAGGAGTTGCCTGGCCAATGCCAGCACTGGTTATTGGAAAACAAGAAATTATACCCAAGGGAGTCTTGAGCAAAAGCCAGGACATTAGGAAGGATAGCAATAGGTCAGAAGTGTCTGCTCTTGCATGACCTAGGAGTCCTTGATGATTTTTGTTAAAATTTATTAAGTATCTGTGGAAAATGGTATTAATGGACTTTCCCTACAGACACCAAGGCCTGACAGAGTAGTGAGTTCAGATTCATATATTCCTTCAAAGAGTGGGAAATCTCTAAACCTAAAATGATAGACTACTCATTGCCTACTCACAGAGTAGCTGTATGGGAAACCTTTTTCATAGGTTTTTCTCTGTCACATAGGACTCTGATATTTGAAAATGACAAGGAAAGAAATAGTTCAGATAAAGAAGTGGATGAAAATGAAAGTAGAATATTGGAGGCTGGGAGTGGCGTATGCATATGCCATTGTCTTTGATGCAGACCTGTATACCTGTGAATTCCCACCCATCCAGCCAGAAACTCACACTCTCTGTTTCACAAACAGGCTGACAGATCTCCTAAAGAAGTGAAGAGCACATCAAAAGAAGCTCTTCCTGAACCTCACCAAGCAGTATGGTCTCATAATTTGGCTGTCCAGGTAAGACACTCAGTTGTGTTTTAAAACTCCCCATTCTAATGAGCAGAGTTCTGAGACCAAATCCTTTCATCTTTGCTTTGCACATTCTTCCCAGAAAGAGTCATGGTTTCCTCTTTATTGCATTTTCTGGGATGTACACTGATCTAGCATTTTCACCTTTCATTTTGGTACTGCTGTGATCTCACAGAATGCTATATTTGACTCGTATATATAACAATTTTGGAGTGCTGATAGTGAAAGATGCTTCTCCCTGCTATCAGGGAAAACACAGACCTTGAGGTTCTGGAAAGCATACAGGACGATGGAAATTTCCTGAGGTCTGGGCTGTGCCCTCACCAGAGCTAGGTGCTGCATGAACCATAGGGAGGTAGGTATAAATATCATCTCTGCAGGTACTGAGGCTCCACTCATCTCTGTAGTGCCAGATATGAATGATGAGAATATCATTGTCAATAAAATCTGAAATGAAATCTCACTTTGGTCTTCACTGCCACATCTGCTGATTTGAGTGCACCTACTACCCTGCCAGAAAATTCAAAAGGGGAACCTGGCTTAGAACAAAAAGTAATAAAGCATTATATAACATTCTGCTCAGTGGTAAGGAAAGCCAAAGAAAATTAAGCACTACAGAAACAAGAGGAGGCTGGAAAAAGTAACAACTAAGGATGAAGAGAAGATCAGAACAGAGAATCTGGGCAAAGTAATTTCTTTGATAATTAATAAACACCATAATTTTAGAGATTAATAAGATAATTAATAAGCATCAATAATTATTTAAGTGCAGGAGGCAAACACAAAATGTTGCTACTACCATATGTAAGACTGTTGTTTCTGTTCTGCTCTCCCAAGACCTTCACTATTCAGCTATTTTAGTAACCTGTCAGTTACTTATGGCAGAATGCTTCCCTGGTTGTTGCAGACTGAATGTCTCAAGGAAACACAGGTGTACCAAAAGGAAATTGTCCAGGTGGATGCAGAAGGCCTAGTTATGGTCAACTTAGTGGTCAGAAATAGAGGTGAATTGGAGTATGCACAGTTTCTGTGGTGACACAGATTCTCAGCCAGCTGTGGCCAGATGTCATGAGGTTGTAGATACAGATCCAAAGCATCTCTTCACCCAGGAGGGATAAGCTTGGAAAATAATGAACTTAAACTGCTTTTAGATTGCTTAAGAAAAGTAAGTATAGAGAAATTGCCAAGGAAAGGAAATAAAAGAAACAGTTGATTCCTGACTAGAGCTCAGACACATGATTCACTACTTGCTATGGTGGAAAAAAATTGCCCTGGATAATTATTCATGCTTTCTACAGCTTCTGCAAGTGGATCCATGAGTCAAACCTATTTTTCATCATGGAGTCATGGAACACACTTGCCTGATCAGGCTGCATCTGAAAGGGCAGAAGTTTAGTCATTTTGCAGTGACAATAGATATATGATCTTTTACCATTTTTTATCCCCAAACACTGGATTGTGAAAAATTGGGGGGAAATACCAGACTAATGTCAGAATACTAAAATACTTTGAAAAGGTATGTGTCATCAGATGCTACTTTTGCTTAAAGCAGCACTTGTATATCAACACTGAGAGAGCAGTTAGCACCTGCAAACACTGGCAAATTGAGAATGTGAATGTGTCTTTGCCCAGTTGGAGGTGGTGCCAGATGAATGGGCAAGAGATGGAAAGCAGACTAAAAGAGCTATGAGATTTGGTGTTCTGGGAGCTGCTGCCACTACAAGAACATAGAATAAAGGGCTCTGGGATTTGGCTGCACAGCTGTGCAGCCAAGAAGATGGATTCACAGCTGTGAAACAGGCACATGCTGCCAGTGTTTTGGGTTGCAAGGTGAAATTTTGATAGCAAAGAATCAAATTAATAGATAGTAGCTGAGAATTCTGAAATTGTTTTAAGCTCCAGTAGCTTTGTGTGTTGACTGGCATTTAGTGAGTGAGAGTGTCAGAGTGGTGCAAAGAAAACAGGATTTGAAACTAGGACAAGTTTTTTGTTTAAACATGTACAGGAGGTACTGTCAAAGACATTAAAGCTACCTTCTGCAAGTGAGTAACTCTGATGGAAGGGAAAACATGATTGGTAGAGTGTCTGAAGCACATCCCAGCAGCTGTAACTAGACAAATAGAATTGACAGATTGTAATGGTGGCTGGCTGAGGAGGAGAGCTGAGAACGGAAGTGTTGGCATGAGCACACAGGCTGTCTCTGAAGGGCAAAACACAGGCTCAGAGAGGACAGGTTCATGTTGTCTTCACTGCTTTCTAACATGTAGCCACTTCCTGTTTCTCATTATTCTGAGAATGGTGAACAAGAAATGAACTCGAATTTGGGCAAAGCTTCAAGGTTTTTATTGAATGGTACATAACTAATAAACAACATTATACACTGTCAGTATTTTCATGGAAAATAGACTTTTTAAACACAGCAACATACTTCTGCCTTTTGGATAGATGCTAATTTAGCATTTGTAAAACACAAGGCCCCAGCAGAGCTGGAGCATTCTCCCAGCAAGAGGGCTCCTGCTGGTGCCTTTTCTCTAACCAAACTGTCAGCGCTGGCTGCGAGACCATCAGTCAGCTCCATCACAGCACTTCTGGGACACAATGCTCAAGAGAGCTAAGATCAGGCTTCTAGAGCAGCAGTGTCATCAGTGCCAGCCTATGGGGAGGCCTCTGTGGAAGTACAGAGCACTAATGCCAGAAATTGAGCTAATAAATATCAATGCAGGGAAAAAAATCAACATTCCTTTGTACATTAGTGTGCTCTCCTACCTCACCCCCCCAGACTTGTGGATCAGCCTTGCAATGGCACACAAGTCTCTGTCATAATAGTGTTTGTTTCGGTTGATCAGTAGGCATGATGAAATTTGACAGTAAGATGCTCGACTGCAACAGCAATAGCTCTTAATGCTACACACTTCTATATATACATATTACATATTGGTACAATACATCTCAAAAAAGTCAATGGCCTAATGTAGCCATCTTTATATGATAGGGTTAATCTTCAAATATGAATACATATGCTATTTATTTTCCTCCAAACCATTGAAGTTACAAAGAACATTCTCTCACCTTCCTGTATGCCTTTTGTAAAAAGACAGTTAATTTATTTCTTTAACTGAAATGAATTAGCAGACACTCCATCCCAGCTAGGAAATGGTTTCTCTCCTTCCTTGTTACAGTTAACAGTGATATGGAATGGAATCACTTTTTTCTCTAGCTTTTCAGAAGGCATTTTCACATAGACTCCAGTAGTGAGACATCGTCTTCTCTTTATCTGTAACATATGGGAAGTAAGTAAAATAAACAGGCAAACACAGCATAATCATTGAGCAGCACATTTTAGAGAAACCAATGGATATTCTTCCTTTACTGAGTAGAATGTATTCTAGACATCTTTCTCTGCTTCTTAATAGAAGATCTGTTAAGAGCACTTGATAGAGGATCAGGATGTACAGGGGCTATTTATGCAAAGGGGAAAAAAAGAGTCCTGCCATTCATTTATCTCTTTGAAGGTGCTTCTGCTTCAGAGTTCAGTGTTGGTTCAAAGCTAGGAGTGTTCACACCTGACAGCTTCATTTACCTTCTAGGGACAAGGACTGATTGAAAAATCATTGTTTGGTTTCAAGCTCAGGTTCACCAGGCTTACATTTTGCATACTTTGGTGCAGACATTTCTAGCTGTGAAATTAGAAAGGCTTGAAGTTACACTTCCCCTATCCAAGGAGAAGGTTGTTTAAATTTGCTTTGCAGAGGTGAATGATGAGAAAAGGAAAAAATTAAATTCTGGGATTTTGTGTGACTCATTTGTGAAGAGAGAGTACACATGAAGAACTGTTGCCTTCAATCCCAAAAGCATCCAGGATTTTGCCTGGTTTTAAGCATCCAGCCCTATGCCAAGGCTCAGTCCAGCTGATGGAAGCTGGCTGCTTTCTAGTATGCTGGCAACACAAATGAGCCATAAATAAATATAAGTAGCAGGTCCAGCAAGTTCTCTTGTTTTGCATTATTGTAATAACATTGCACTTGCAAAGTGGAGCATCCCACTGGGTTTGTTCATGGTGTTCTTCCCTGTTCTCATTTCTTTCTCCTTGTCCTCATCACACAAAGGGGCATTATTAGCAGAAGGGGGCTGAGTTGATGGGACTTACCGCTTTGCCCACAAGAATGGCTGAGATGATGATACTGTAGAGAAAAAATCCTGAGGCAGTAGCTCCTAATACCCAGAGGTATATGGCAGTGTCTGGACAAGGTTCTGGATCTAAAACATATGATATCACACATGTCACGTCACACAGGAGTCTCATAAGGAAGGCCCTAGAGTCAGTGAGTCAGTCTCTATGCTGCTTTTCTCTAGCATGTGCTATCCCAGGATACCACCAGGACTGAGCTCTGGGTCGCTGCCTACTCAACCTCCAGTGAAAAGAGTTTTTATCTGTAGAAGAGCTCACATCTTACTCTGACTTTTGCCCTTCTGTATCTAACTGCCTAGACACAGGTGTACACTGCATGGTGTTGCTTATGCTATCATTCCTTGGCTATGACTATGCTTGCTTTGGGCATCTGCAGGGAGACCTGGACGAAATAAGAGCTAATCAAGATTTTCAGTGCTGAAACCAGTATTCACCCTCACTTCTTACAAACAGAACTCTGAAGACCTTTGAGATGTAATAGCTGCTCCCTTAACTTGGAAGTATCCCAGTGCTGTGAACCTGCTTGCCTTACCAATGACATAGAGATGTGTGCCATTTCCCTTGTTCATGAAATAGGGTGGGGGGTACATCCGCTCCATCTTGCAAATGTAAAGCCCAGTGTCATTTGCTTGCAGGCCAGCCAGCGTGAGGGTCACATTGTTTTGGCCAGGGGTAACATGGCACTGAATGATCTTTTCCACAAAGAATGTTTTGAACTCCATGGTGTATGATGAAGCACAGATTTCTGTGATCTGGTCACCAGTCTGTTTAAGCAAAGTCACTCGAATTTCCTGTGCATTCCCGATGTTCTTGTATTTACACACCAAGCTGGCAACTCCTTGCCTGTTGGCCAGCACAATTGCTGGCTGAGTCACTTCCATTACTGTAAGGAAGTAAAGAGTGTGATGGTAAGTGAGCAGTCAAGAAAGGATCTGGAGTCATTTACTTCAAACCTGTACAGTAGGAAGGGAGTTCTGCCACTTCCTCCTATCCAGTATATATATATATATATATATAAAATAGGGTGATTCCTAGAAATGCTGTTTTCAAAGAAGGGACTCCAAGACCACAATACACATTAGCAGTGCATTAATATTCTTTAAAAAGCTCAATAAATGCTTTTATTACTAAAAATTATTTCATAAATCTCAGCAATTACTTGTTGCTTAAATAGTAGGCTATTTGGCCCACTTAGGCAATAAATGGCTTGCATACTTTAGTTTTCCTCAATACCATCTTCTTAGTATACATAAGAAACTAAAAAAAAAAAATATAGATGATAAGGTTGAAATTTTAAATTTAAAATCAGACTTTTAAACCACAATTTCTGCCTAGTAGAAATATATTTACATTTAGGAACAAAAATGTTGACATCTTATATGGAACACGGAACAGAATGATTTAGATAACAGTAAAACTGAATAGAAAATCTGTTTGCATACTTTGTTTCTGATCTTTTTTCTCCTTACTTTTAACTAGCTACTCTCAAGCCACAGTATACACAGCAACAATATATTTCCCAAGCTAATGTAACAGCACATTACAAAGCCTGATGAACAGACTGCAGAAAAAAATCTCAAGGGGAAATTACTGGACCATGTACAACCTCACTGACAGCTTTTTGCAATTTCTATATTCTATCATGACACATGATGGGATGGCACAGTCTTTTGCTTTAGTAAGCTGTGAGGACTCAGCATTGTTTTTTAAATCTCATTTTATATTAGTCCATTTTGGGGCAGGGTTTATCTTGTCAGTTCTGCAATGCAAGAATTCCAGATGAAGAGTAGAATTTCTCCATGCATTCAAACCCCTATACCCATGTTATCAGCTGTCACAACTTCACTTGCAGGGCCTGGTTTTTCAAGATCTTTTCTTCCTTCTTGAGCTACTCTGAATGTTGCCCAGTGTCCCTCAAATGGTATTGCTCTACAGTCTGTGTCTGGTTTTCCAGACATCTTGCAGTGCACCAAGACCTCGCTCCCATTAGTCCTGTGTGTCACCCTGTTGTGCCAAGTCTGTCTCCTGCAAGGACATGAAACTGAAAACAAGTCAACAACCCCAGATACTTGCCTCCTTCATCTACCCACCTTCAGCAATGGCAGTGGCTGTGCAGAGAAAGCCCACGGTGACCAATATTGAGAGCATTCCTGTGCTGGGACAGGCTGAAGGTGCTGATGCCTTTAGAGTTTAAGACAAACTGGAACTCTCAGGACTGGAAAAGAGGTGACGCCTTTCAGGATACTGAATCTTCGAAATGTTTGAACCCACACAGAGCCAGTGTGTATATATAGCTTTGATCCCAGATGCTGTACCTGAAAGTAGTATGAAGCTTTGTTTTGGTTTTACGAGAAAGGAAGCAGTGGGTTTGATTAGTACGTGCACAGTTAACCTCAAACAGTATGAACAAAAACAACTATTCAGCACATGGAAAATATATATTCAATCTGAAACTGCCATCCATTCTGCTTTAAGAACTGTGGGAGGAAAGGTAATCATCATTAGAGCAGTTCAGGTCCTTTGGAGGTGCCAGCTTGCAGAATCATAGCACTTAATATTTTAGCAATCATCAGGTATTTCCGACCAGGACAACAAGCAGAGAACTGTACTTCTGCCTAATGTGGCACAGTGAATCCCTGCAAACTAGACTTTTTATGGAGGACTTGCTTCCACCCCAAATTTCTTTGCTTGCTTTAATATTAGTGCTTTTGATGTTTAAAAATTGCTACCCCTTCTAAAAACTGATTACACTTGGAATTACTTCATCTTTTTGTATCAGCAATGTGACTTGAATCATAACCCAGCCTCTTTAAGCTTTCCTGTTTCCAAGAAAAAATTATCTAGGTTTATAGGTAATGACTTCCACATCTATACAGAACTTTGCTACCTATGGACTTTACTGCCTAACTACCTTGACATCAACGATGAAAAACACTGCAGGAGCTTTGATTATTGCTATCTCTGCTTAGAGCACCTGCGTCATTTCAAACCTCAGTGAAACCAGTTTTGCTCATGGACCTTTTCAAAATCATGTAGGCTCTGAAAATTGTTCTGCTTTTTTATATTATAAGCTGTCACATCCCTGAATCATTGCCTAAAGAATTCCATAAAAATGAGAGGTCACTTCAGCTATTCTGAAGGTCGGCATTCTTTTTTTAACCCACACTTTGAGAAGTTCTTTTAGAAGGTGCTTCATCATTTATATATGTAGATCTAGTAGATTGCAAAGACCTGGTTTTGCTCTGTGACCTAGAAAAATTAACAGCATTAGTTATTGAACACTAGCCGGCCCAATACAAAGATCTGGGATAAATACTTAGTCTTCAAATCATATAAATAATTAATGATGTAAATAAGCTTACTGCTTCCATGCCTAGGTTATGCAGTATTTGTTTGCAATGACAGGTTCACAGTCGTTTTAATCTTGACCAGCATTCAAAACAGAACTGATTATAAAAATGCTGCTATGGGAAAATGAAAAACTGCACCCTAATAATGAGACAGGCACTTACTGTATTACTGGTTAGACGAGCTTAAATCAATTTTAATATTAAATGTAAAATAAATGCTATTGCAACATCATGTACCAGAATATCAGTGAGATTTATGGCATGAAATTACCAGTTTATGCCTGACATTTTCATATCCAGAGTAGTAACTAAATTATCTGCCCTTTGTATCTTTTGGGCTTGGGTTTTGCATGCAGTTAAACAAATTATGCATTTGAGTTTCATCAGCTATGGTGTCATCTTCTGATAATTGATTGAGACTGCTAATTGATGGTGCAATTAGCCACTAAACACTGGCAAAGAATTGCCATGTAAAGCTCAGTGCTCATGCCACACATACACATGGGATCTTGCCCTGCTAGAGTGACAGGCAGCACTCTGGCACTCCTCTCTCTCCTGTTTGAGACTGTTCTAGCAAGCTTTGTTTCCAGTGGTACTCATCGTGTTTCTTGGCTGTTTTGTCCTCAGGATGTATTTTCAGATCCACAGCTTTTTCCTTTTTACCCCTGTTCCTCCTTAAAAGCCTTGTGTTATGATAATTAGTTTTCTAAGTAAAGCACAACATGTCTCCCTTTGGAGTCTCTTGAAGTCATCTCTGTCTTCACTGCCCAAGTGAGCCCAGGCTGCCTTTAGTTATCCCTTCCAATGGATGATTGCCTTGCCATGGTGCCCTCTACCCTTCCTAATCAAACTTTAGCTCTTGAGTTAATGTATGCAGACAGCAGGTAGATCGTGCAGTAGAAGAGATCTTTTTCCAAATAAGATCTCACTTTCACTGCTCCCATCCTTTCCAGCTCAGTTACAGCATGGAACAAGGTATTGATAACAGAAGGAGTTCTCCACTAAAATAAAATCCACAAAAATCGCTGGGGACACCTTTTGTCTCCTCTGTGTCCTTTATCTAACTACTCTTCAGCTGGTCAAGATTCTCTGGACTTCTGCTTGCCCTTCCTTCCCTGAATATATCATATGAAAAGGCCATGCTTTGTGGGCTACAACCACTGGACCTATCTTACCTAGTTACTGCACCTTCTTGTCTGTGTAGTCTGGAATCTTCCTGTCCTGACTCTTTTATCCTGTCCTGACTCTTTTATCCTGTCCTGACTCTACATCTTTCACCCTTTCCCATGAATGGAACCTTACACATGGTCTAGTGGCCAGACAAGGGAATGGCTGAAAGAAGAGCCCTAATTTTGACTTTGAAATTCAGGTCTTTAGAGTGAAGTTATTCCTCAGGCTGTTTCTAAAAGCTTGTGCTTTGTGCTCCCAAAGATCAATGTGATATTCTTCTTCCCTTTAATGCACTTACTTATACTGTAGTTCTCTTTGTTCTTGGGGGTGTTATTAATTCCCATGTCACAGGAAACCTTTATAGTTTACATATGCTACCACAGCAAAGTGTCAGAGCAGGGGAGAGGACTGAGGGCCTTGCAGTGCAAAGCTGCAGAGCCTTAAAAAAAAGGGGATCATCTTAGGAGTGGCTTGGACTTCACAACCTCTTTGAACTTAGCTGAGGGAGGAACATGCAGTTTTACACTGGACTACACTACTGTGATTACTCAGATTGCTAGGAAGTTAAATAACTAGGTTTCTCATATAAGTTTCTTTCTCATTTTGGGTTAGTCACTTGCATTCTAGTGATTTGGTTTTCTTCACTGAACACTTATTAGGGCAAACCTTCCTGCTGATACCCTGTCAGAATTCCCATTGCAAAATGTTTTTATTCACAAAATTATTTTCACACTTGTAAGCCTGTCTCAGGATGCCCATGTTTTTTTGCTGTGACAGGAACTTGCTTGGTAAATTGCTTGAGATGTAATGGGGAGAAGAAATTCTTATAATTTGCATAAGTATCTGGTTTCAGGATATTATGCTAAACTCAAAATGTGAGATCATGTCTTACTATGTTGAACAGTTCACGTTTTTACCACGTTCGTTTGCCACAAACCTATTGGGGTTTCAAAGTGCTCTGTCATTTGAAAAAAATCCAGACCTCTAAGTGGTATGGCTGAAGAAAAATTTTTTTGCACAAAACAAGAGGTAAAGAGAAAAGGAAATAACAGAGTGACTGGAAAAATACTGTTTCATTACCATTAAAGGACTAAAACCTGGTTAGTTTAAGTAAAGGCCTAGATATAACCAAGTTTGGTGGATCAGACTTAGTTCCCAAAGGAATCACAATTCACATCACAAAACTACTGATTTTTAAGTCTCTCATAATTGTTGCCTTTTTCTCAGCTTTTAACCTGGTTTTGTAAATGCTGCTCTCCAGTCCTAAGCCTGTTCCCTCAATCCCGCCTCAGAACAGGTGAGAACAGCATTAGCTGAGGAATTCTCTTTCCACTACTTCTTAGAGCACATGGGGTTGCTGCTCTTGTGAGCTTCTGCTGATGAGTAGATTGTCCAAAAAGATTTGAGATGGGGGTGAATATTTGAGTGTCCTTTTTCTTTGTGAGACAGTCATTGGTATTTCTTTTCTGGAAGCTAGGCTTTGTTTCCCCTACAATAAAGTCAATTATATCCAAGCTTTCCTGATATGCACAGCATCTATAATTATCTAACACAGAGGTCAAATTTCTTCCCAGCTTTTTAATGCTGCCAGTTCTCAGTTAGCCTTGAGTGTCTGCATTCTAGCCCTTACCTTGCTGGGTTTGCTACATGTTATTTGTATTAAGCCATCTATGTCCCAGTAGCAACCAGGTCTGCATGAATTGCCTCCACCCCATCCCTAAGCAGTTTATGGTCAAAATGTAAGATCTGGGATGTATGGAAAGATATACAAACAGAAATAAGAGGAAATAGAGACACAGGACGGAGAAACACAGGCAAAAGGTCTTCACACGCTGACTTCCTTATTCTTCTCCAGTTTCCTGCAGGGGGTTGTGTCAAGGGAAAGATTTTAGGACAAATTTTAACAGAAACCATAAGTGTCTTGGCAGATGTTTAACAACTTTCTTTTACTGCAAGGAATTTTCTAAAGAAGAGCTCCACATATTTGTTGTTTCTAGACTAATCACTTGGGGTTGAGCACGGAATAAATCAGGTACCTTCACCTCAAAGCAAAGACTGAAAGCTAGTCTGTTTTCATGAATAAGCAGAGAAGAACCAAAGGAACCCCCAAGTCTAAAATTAAGATTTGAGTGTTTCCCACGACTAGAGAAATACTGGAGAAGTGTTTTATACTTCCACTTTCCTTTACTTCTTTAAGCATTGCAAAAAGGAAAAACAGCAAGAGGTAGACATATTTCTGAGTCTCTGTCTCTGACATTGCAGCAGTTTGAATTTAATGAGGGACGCAAGAATAAGTCATGAAGTTTTGCTGAAAACATGTGAGAAATGACATTCTAATCAAAAATTAGATGCGTACAAAATATTTTAAAAGGGTGCAGATAAGGAGCATAATTAAGGGCCTGCTTCCAGTTTACACAGGACTAATTAAGTCCCTGATGTGTAAAAAAAAAATGAATTATGGTATTTCAATCTAATAAGATCAAAGCAGGACTCCTGAAAAACATAGAATTAAACCTTTATAAAACAAAAGACTCAATGAAGTTTACATAAAAGAGAGAGTGTTCCAGCTCAGTAGACTTATGGAGAATCCAAATGTTTTAAAGACAAGGAGACCTGGCCAAGAAAGTA